TGAAGTCATTTGACATTTGGCTTTTTGTACTGAATCACTGTTTCCCATTTTGATATCAGTTACAATTAACCATGTTTTTGACCTCAACTAAACCTTGAACTTGGCCCAGTTTTTTAGACTAATAAAGCAATGCAGGATTTAAACCTGAGACCTTTGGTTATGCTGCTCTTAATCCACCCTTTACTCTCCCTTTTGGTATAAAAGGAGACCCCTACTATGGAGTCGAGCAGTGGGAGATGTAAGATATATACTCGGAACCGAGAACACACGACCATTTCTTTGGCTTCCTTCAGTGAAAATAACGTCTTTGTGGGCTGGGGTTCTATAGTAAAACAGTGGGCGGTTGTTTTTATGAATGGTAACTGTTTTGGAGGATGAGGGGCTAGCTACGTACCACCCATGTCCATAGCTTTGTGAAGCCATTCATAATCCTGTCCCCACAGCTTTGTTTCTTTCAGAGGTTTATGCATGACAAGCTAGGATGGCTATGAATGAATTTCTGTCTCAGTGTAGGCATCTTCGTTTTGGTCATGCCAGGATTTATGTACATTGTAAACCAAACATCTCAATTATGCCACTCTGGTACTTCCTGTTCATTTGGTTTATAGACCACTGCATATCACTGGAGTAGCCAGGGGCGTAGCTAGCATTGAGGCAGGAGGCAGTTGCCTCCTCTGTTTTTGCTGACTTATGAATGATTTATTACGTACAACTTTTCGCAGCGTAACCAACGACGAGCGCCAGCAGCGAGAAAATGCAGTTACCACTGGGTTACACCAACCAAGAGCAGACATCTCACCCAGAGTGTATCGACAAGACTGGGGTCGCTTCGGGCATCGCCGTTTTGCTCTGGCCTTCCGCGATCAAGCGCTTAACACTGACATGACATTGAGAAACGTCATTGCGCATGCGCGCAATTTATCATGAATAATGCTAATACTCATCATTTGCCTCCCCTAAGATTTCAATCCTGGCTACGCCCCTGGTAGCAGTAGCAGTAGCAGATGACACAGTAGTTATGGTAATCTGCTTTCCTTTGAAACTGCTGCTACTTACTGTGGTAGCAGGAGTTAGCTCTCAGTCCTACCCTCGATTTGAGTTCAGAGGAGATGTTCTGGTAAACAACTCTTTCATAGTTCGTGGACTCCAGTAAACATTGGAGAAGGCCACAATGACTCACTGCATTGTGTGACTGACAACTCAGAGTGTTGTAGCAATGGACAAGGTGACTGGTATGATGAGAGGGGAAGACAAGTCCAGCAGGGACCAGATGGAGAGGGTGACCTGTATGTCACTAGAGGAGATGGAGTGGTCTATCTCAATCGCAGAAGAGGAGGAACTTCAGGAATGTGGAGATGTGATATACCTGATAGTAATGGTGTACAGCAGAGTATCTACATCTACCTTGGGACTCCAACCACAGGTAGCTATCTATCTCTCCATAGTGACTTCATTTCTAAAAGTACAAACAGGTGCAATTGACATCACCAGTCATGTACTTCACTCTGGACTCAGAGGCAAATGAGGATCCTCCTGAGTTCACTCTCACATGTCAGAGTAAGGGAGGACCAGTCACAGAGGTGGTGTGGAGGAGGACTGCAGAAGGAAACACAGTGACAGTAGAGGAAGACAGTAACCACACCACCAGTCAGATCATAGTGGACACATCAAGTAACACTGTCTATAATAACACTCTGAGAGTCAGGGGAAGAGAGACAACTGTAACATATAGATGTACTGTGAGCAACAACAGGCATGAATATGTCCAGGTTCCTTGCTTAGCATCAGCAAGAGAATGCTTCGAGGTATGGTATTAAAAACTGGCTGTAATCTAAACTATTACTTATATTAGCTGCCATGGAACCTACAAGTGTCAGTGCTACCTACAAGACCCCCACCAGTATCTCACTAGAGTGGACATTTGCCAGGGCACCCATCTATGACTATAGCTATGTGGTCTACTATGAGTCTGGAGGAGAGAGTCACAGTGTGTCCTTCACTGACAGTGGGAGATCCAGAGACAATAGTCATCTACTGACTGGTCTTCCAGTTGGAGGGATCCACACTATCTCTCTAGTGGCTCTGGTAGACCTTCCCAGTCCTGTGGTTGGACCTGTCACTCCTGGTAACTAACACTCTTTATGTGCTCAAAAGATTCTAAAAACTTCCGTACATTCAGTGTCAGCAGAGTCTCCAGAGGTGGTGGTGTCAGGAGAAGGGTCAGGAGTGGTGGGGACCTCATACACACTGACATGTAGAGTCAGTCTACCCAGTGGAGTGGACAAAACTATACCATGAAATAAGCCACATGACCACATATTATTCTTCAGGATGTTGATAATACAGCCTTCATTATGCCGATTAATGTGTTCTTGATCCATTATTGTCATAGCTCTAATCTGATCGTTATGTTTGTCACAGCTTCAGTAGTCCCGGCCACTAACACCAGAAAGAGCAGTGTCAAAACTCCACTACCTACCATGAACATGAATCAGGTATGTAATCGGTTTGTTTAAGATTATTGGCTGGTATATAAACCCATCAGTCGCTCAGTTTATAAAATGTATGCATGTGAACATAGTTTCTCAAGGATAGCCCTGTTTGAAAATGTGTTGAACCTTAAACACATGCATACTTTCTGTTTCAGAAGATCACACAGAGCTAGATGGCCAGTCTGGGTCTTCCCTTGTGCTGCCAGTTGCTGTTAGTATTTCAGTCTTCATTGCTGTTCTAACAACAGTAATCGTAATAATCTTCATTTTTCTAAGGTAATGTACAGTAGGGAGTAATTATAATAACCATGCTATGTATGCTTCCTCAGACGCCAGCGTAATGCCAGGAAGAGGTACTCGTTCAAAGAGGGCAACTTGTCAATAGCAAGAAAGAGCTATCCAACAGACAGTGTAGGGGAGGGCAGTATTGGGGAGGGAGAAGAGGGAAAGACTGAAGACATTGAAATGGAGGGTCCTCTCGTGAATGCGGTGGTGGATGATGAAACATGTGAGGAGGATGGAGTCCCAAACCAGATGCAGGAGGAAACTGAAGATTACTTTCAAGATCCTACGTCCATATTATGTAAATATTGGTAGCCCAATACATTTACACAGGAAAAGGACACCCCCCCCACTCTCTTCACTTTCCCAGTGACAGACATTGACCCAATACCGACTGAGAGGTTCCCAGAGTATGTGAGGGACATGCTGTATGGAGAGGAACATAAACTGAAAGAAGAGTTCTCGGTGAGATCTCCTTATATGGTTTTCCTTCCGCATGGTTGAGGAATGTGTTGTGTATACTGATGTAGGCAAACGAAAGAGCATTTGAAAAAAAAACAGTGCAAATGCATGTCTTGCATGTTTTTCCCCCCAACACTGTGGGAGAGTGTGATGATAGCACCGTTTCTGTAAACATACACAGGCCCTGGGGAAGCTACCTCAACCACCCTCCACTGTGGCTGTCCTACCACACAACAAGGCACACAACAGATTCAACAACATCTATCCTTGTGAGCTGCCGTGCTTTATACACAGCGGCAGTACCTTATGTAACATTATGCAGACAACAGGTCTCGCGTGTGTCTCAAGGCAACCCCTGGAGTGGACAGCTGTGACTATATCAATGCCTCTCTCATTGATGTGAGACTATAAATACACAAAACTTCACAATTAATGTCGTGTGGATATTTTGAATCTATTACAGGGGTATGGAGGGAGGAAAAATGCCTATATCGCAGCACAAGGTCATACATACAACTGAACATACATAAAAAGCACTATTAGCAGTAAACATGGTGCATATACTTATCCTATACCACAACAGGGCCAGTGGATGTGTCTGTGGAGCGTTTCTGGAGGATGGTCTGGGAGTATGAGACACCAACAATACTCATGCTCACCCAGTGCACTGAGGCTGGGAAGGTATGGCATACAATACAGTGGAACCTCTGTTAAGGGACCCTCCGAGATAAGGACGACTGCTCTACAAGGACACTTTTATCAACCCCATCCTTAAACTTTGGTGTATTATTTGACCTCTGTGGTAGGGACAAACTTACAAGGACACTTGTTTCAGCCCTATCCTAATACTTTAGTGTATTTTGTGACCTCCGAGGTAGGGACTAGCTCTCTACAAGTGACATAATCATTTGCCTAAAAGACTGACTGATGCACACACGTACTAATCCTCAGGTCAAGTGTGTGCAGTACTGGCCAGAGAAGCTACATGACTCCCTCAGTGTGGGGGAAAAGTTCCGTGTCACCTTCTCTTCCAACATGCCGTTTGCCGAGTACGAATTCAGGAAATTCAAACTTGAAAATGTAAGTCTCTTTCACCATTTTTTTATTTCACCCTCTTTGTGTGTACATCTCTAGTTGTCAGAGTCAGAGAGTAAGCACATGACAGTGAGTCATCTCCACTACACGGCCTGGCCTGATCACGGAGTGCCCGACAACGTCATGTCTCTCATTGCCTTCATCCGTCACGTCCGTAAACTCCACCCCGTCTCCCACCAGCAGCCACTGCTGGTCCACTGCAGTGCGGGGGTGGGGCGTACGGGGACACTCATCCTCCTGGACATCATCATGCAGCAGATGAAGACAGAGGGCACTATCAGTGTTCTCCACTGGCTGAGGAACTTACGCATGCAGAGAATGAAGATGGTCCAGAGCCAGGTGAGAGATATGGGGTGGACCCTTTCATTAACTTCTAACAAGCAACATGGGATGGGAGCTATAAGTACACAAAGGGAAGAGTTACTGCGTGGATTTAGTGCACACAGTGTTTAAATATGTGAATGCTGAAACTCTTGCAATACAGCAACAGTATGAGTTCATTCACTGTGGTCTGAGTGAGCTGGTGGTGTGTGGGGAGACAGAGGTGGGCGCAGCCAACCTCAGAATTGCCCTCAAAAACTTGAAGAAAAAGGGACCAGTTGGATTTACTGGCTTCCAGAGGCAGATGCAGGTTTTTGACTCGCACTTAATCACACGCAGTTTTATATGGCAATTATTTGCAGATAATTGAGGAGGTGAGTTCTCACCATCCAGTTACCTTCAGTGATGCAGAGGAGGAGTACAACAGGAATAAGAACAGATTTCCTGACAAACTACCCAGTGAGTGTATGTTGTTGCTAGCTACTTTGTGTGTGCAACATAAGTGGTTTGGCTTGTTGATACACAAACATGCCCAGGCAAACATGGGAACATGTAAGTATGTGTGTGTGTGGTATTGACATAGATGACACTTATCGTGTGAGACTGAGATGTGGACCCATGCCAGGTTCAGACTACATCAATGCCTCCTTTGTCAACGTAAGAAAAAATGCAGCCACTTATTCTAACTCCACGACACATGTGCTTATCTGGTGTCAGGGCTACAAGCAGAAAGGTGCCTACATAGCTACCCAGTGTCCACTGGAGAACACAGTGGCTGACTTCTGGAGGATGGTCAACGAGTTCCAGTGTGGCTGTGTGGTCATGCTCTGTCAGCTCCAGGAAGAGGGAGAGGTGATTTACCTTCATTCCCCCCTGCCCCCTTAACCAGGTGTGCACATTACACTGTAGGAGAGTAGCTGCTGTTTCTGGCCAGAGGAGGAAGGGGAGTCTGTGGTGCACGGGAAACTGTCTGTCAAACTGGTGTCAGTCAAGACTCACGGAGACATTGTCACTAGGAAGCTGGAGATGGTGGAGGGAGCAGCTCGACTCAATAGACCTCACATGGTCCACCTGCTCCAGCTGACAAGCTGGCCATTGCAGGGTCTTCCCCACCCCATGGCAATCCTGTCTCTCATTGACCAGCTCACCAGTACCCAGATGAGGTGTGGGAACAGACGAACGGTCATCATGTGCAGGTATATGTGGAGAGGAAGTGTGTGTGTGAGTGGACTAGTGTGTCCTCTGCAGCGATGGGGTGAGTCGAACAGGAACCTTCCTCACCATCCACTGCCAGTTGGAGAGACTCAAGACAGAGGGTGTGGTGGACTTTCTCCAGACCATCAAGTCAGCTCGTCTTCACAGACCTGGCCTCGTCAACAACACTGTGAGTTTGCTCATACTGTGACTTCAGATGTGCTTTGCTACCTAGACTGCAGAGTTTCGTAGGTTCGAATCCCACCCAGGGCAGTTTTTCTCCTTGGAAAAAGAGCTCTCCTGGGTGTAGTTGACTTGTTTGTTTTTGCCTTTGCCTTTCTACACTCATTTTTTACAAGTGCAGAGTCACTGCATGAAGCAGAGTTAGCCTTTAGTTACCTACTGCTAGTAAAGAAATGTGTGCCATCTTATTCTCTCTACATAATAGGATCACTACGTGTTCTGTCACGAAGTCGTCAATATGTACTTGGACAACTTTGACACTTACGCTAATTTTGAGTTTAAGGAAGTATTCGAATTTTTGTAGTGTGAACGATTGTAGGTATTATGGTGGAGTATCCACTTGTAGCTCTACTACACAACATAATTGTGGAATTTGTTCTCTTGTGGCCAATTAAGTAAGCAGTTCTCTTTTGATGGTTTGTTGCACATGCACACCGAGGGGTTCGTGATGAGTTTATCAGGCCACCTTCGGCCACCAAAATTCACTGCCTGGCTAGTTGCCCAATTAAAGGTATGCTTTACCGTCACCATGGAGCTGCATCCCATTGGTGGTAGCTGGTTAATGGGCTGTAGTTGATTGAGATGCTTGGCTACCACAACATATGGGATCTGTGCTCTTCTGGTGGCAAGTTTGGTGCTACATTGTTGGCTTCCCACCTCAAAACTCGTGTATCCCAAAATCCTGGAGTATGCGCAGTTGGACGACGTACGGTCGTATGTTCGTAGATATAATGGAAATTCCGCGCCGTTAGTAGCACTAGGTTGGCTCGCTCCCGCTTGCCAGTTAGAGTGCTACCACACAACATATGGGATTTTTTCTCTTGTGGCCAATTAAGGGAAGCAGTTCTTTTTGATGGTTTGTTCACCTATAGGGTTTCATGATGAGTTTATCAGGGCCACCTTCGGCCACCACAATTCAGGTAGTACCACAATTCACTGGCTGACTAGTTGCCCAATTAAGCTGCATCCATTAGTGGTGGCTGGTTAGTTGACTGTAGTTGATTGAGATGCTTGGCTACCACAACATATGGGATCTGTGCTCTTCTGGTGGCAAGTTTGGCGCTACCTTGTTGGCTTCCCACCTCAAAACTCGTGTATCCCAAAAACTGTAGCACTTCGTATCAGGTTCTGGGCTATTCACAGCCATGCGAACCCTAGTACTGGTCCCTGTAGTAGTACTGTTAGTCTACTGCTCAGTAGTCTGTGCCACTCTTGAAGATGATGAAGTCGTGACTGCTAGTGTGTTCAGGAGGGAGTTGAATAGGGCTAGACGTGCTATACTAGGAACGATTTTCAAGTTATTTAATCCCGGCTACACTGCTAGTCACCCTGCCTCCTCCTGCAAAGAGATCCTCCAGCAGGCCCCACAGTCTCCCTCGGGTCTCTACTGGCTCGGGGGAACCAACAACAGACCCAGACAAATGTACTGCGACATGGAGAGGAGCTGCAAAGGTGTGGCTGGAGGCTGGATGAGGGTGGCCTCTATCGACATGAACGACACTGGCAGTACCTGTCCATCTGGTCTGAGGACCCTCACCAGTCCTCGCAGACTGTGTCGCAAATCCATTGATGGTCAGGGATGCTCCTCGGTCGTGTTCCCAGTGCAGGGAATAGAGTACTCCCAAGTGTGCGGCAAGATAATCGGGTACCAGTTTAGCAGTACAGACGCTTTTATTCGATTCCCAAGTATCTTAGTACTTAACAACATTGAGTCATTTTATGTTGATGGTATCAGTCTGACTCACGGAACAAGTCCCCGTGAGCACATTTGGACATTTGCTTCAGCAGGAAATGAATACACTGATGAAGAATCAAAGTATGCCTGCCCCTGTATTAACTATCAATACACTCCGCCTTCTCCAGTACCTGAAGTTGTAGGAAACGACTACTTCTGTGACACTGGCAGTGAGGGCACATTCGTGCCCGACTTTTTCTATGGAGATGATCCTCTCTGGGATGGTGCTGGATGTGGTACGCTGAACACATGCTGTGACTGGAACTCTCCGCCATGGTTCAGGAAAGAGATCTCGCCTCCAACCAGTGATGACATTGAAATGAGGGCTTGTGCCGATGAAACTAATGAAGATGTTTACATTGAATCACTAGAGATATATGTTCAGTGATTCACTGTATCAAACTTTGGAACTTAGTTAGGACTCACACTAACTCTACACTCACATAAACCTTTTGTAAACTTAGTATTGCTGTGGTAAGGAGCAATCGAAAGATTGCGCAAGTGCGAGTAATAGGGAGTAGCATTGAGTGAACTCTTTTACGCATACAGCCACCTTCTATGCACAGATGTATATCAACTGGTGCCTGCTATAATAGTGCATGCTTATACCGTTGTGATCATGAGGGTGGTGTTTTAAAACAATGTTGAAACCAGCAGTTCTTTTGACCTTTCCACCTAAGCACATGCCATCTAAAATTGTGGTATAAGTAGGAAACACAGATGATGTTATCTCTTTGCTCAGCGAACAAAGAATGCAAGTTGATAGCTATTACTATTGTAGCTGGATAAGGAGCTCATGAAGGGGTGAAGGATCGAAGGAGAGTCTAACAACAACATGCTCTGTACATACAATCATGCTTTAGATACGGGTACGCTACAATATACTGTGCCCTCATGAGTTGCTTCCAACAATTTGATGTGTCCAGCCTGTACAATGAAACGAAAGCACGAAAGCCTGTCTGGATGTCATAAAAGCTGCAGATACTAAAGTGCAAACCCTCGGCGCACTGCGCATGCGCGGTACCAGGGCTTGCGGAGCTAGTCTGACACGGGGCGGGGGGCGAGCGGGAGCTAGTCGATCGTTCGAGCGGAATTTTCTTTACACGTCGTACGTCGTGTAAGTGCGCATGCGCGGCTTTGTACGCGCTTCTTTACTCACACGGTGCCTCGCGATATGCGCCGATCGATCTAGCCAGCTAGAGAACTCCCCTCCATTAGACGGCATGCGCTGCAACCTTCGGTGACTGACCAAGGCTGCACCTCTTCCCAATCTTCATGGTTCCTAGGTGCAACTTGCAAATACGATAGGATTGCTCGTGCACATACTGCTGCATGCCAGCTGCCTGGTGGACCACGACTGACGAGTTGAAAGCGTAAGGTAAGTACCGTTCTGCTCACCTGCTCACCGTTCTGCCAATGTACAATACGTTATGTAACGGCGACAGGTAGATCTGTCTTGCTTAACGAAAGGAAAGCTGTGCATGCGCTGACGGCACGTTATGCAGCCCGAACTTCATCGCGGGCAAATCCCAAGTTGGGTCGCTCCCGCTCGCCAACATTTCCACTAGTAATTAGTAGATAGCATGCGGGAGGTCCTTCGTTGTGCCTTCTTCTGCCTCCAAGGTACCCAGTCCAGAGCGAGCGGATCAGGTCGAGGTAAGCCAGTGCGATTTCCCTTGTTTTTACGGCATATCTGTCGTTTCAGGAAAATCGTCGTTTTCTTTTGGTGCCTCGCGTAGTTCTGAAGCCGTTGGTATCGCTCATAGGCCGCCTCGTAGCCTGTAGTGCCAGACACAACACACAGCACAGACACCGTAACTGTAACCCTCGCTGCGCATGCGCGCCGCGAGGGCACGCTGGAGCGCGCGCGCACGCAACACGTTCGTTTCATCGTAGGCCAGGATCGGAGGGCCTGAACACACTTTTAACGCAGGAGCGGTCCCGGGTTGTTAACTCGGAGATGGCAGAAGGTAAGGACGGAGTGAACAAAGAATCGTAGCTGATACAGGTAGCTAACAGCCCCTTTAGATGTGACGCTGGCACCAGATGATGCCGCGGAAAATATTGGAAGCACAAAACCAGTCTTTTTTGCTGTGAATGAAGCTGAAATTGCCGCATCATGAAGTTGAGGCTATTCACTCCAGGCATTCCGAGCCTCGAGATTGCCTGTTTTATGTCATTATCGCGTTCCTGAAGCAAGCCGAGCCTAGACCTACGTGGAGTGTGATCGTAGAAGCTCTCAGGAATCGGGTAGTTGGCCTGTCAGCATTAGCTAGGAGAATTGAAGTTACTCATATCTCTGACTCCACGTCAACACGTGAGCTGCAGCTATCTACAGGAGGTAGGTGACATCGCAGTTTCTTTCATCCCTTCGCCATAGTCCTAGTGTTTCTGCCATCCCGACCAGGAGACACTACTGACTGCTGGTGATTGTCAAGTCAAGTCAAAGCCGTCATCCTCTCTAGCGAGCAAAGGTAAGTTAGCCACTGTTTTTTTTCTTCTTCTCTATCATTGCATGCCTCAGATAACTCGGCAGTTGTAGCACTTCGGAAGGAGATAAAGAGTTTTCATCGAAGATTTAATACCATGGAAGTGTCGACAATTCAATGCCTCGAAAGGTGTCGAGTTACCATAGTGACTGTGGTCTATCTCTTGACATCGGTTCTGGCAGTGGGCGAACACAAAGAATATCTTAGTGAAATCACAAAGTTCTTCGCAATTCTCAAGACCACTGGGAACTGTTTGGAGAACTGAATCTCTACTGGAACTACCTCTCATTTGGTCTACTGGACGGACTTCTTGATGAGCTGATTGAAGAGAACACTGATTTTATAAGAATCAAAGAAGTCATGGATAAGCACAAGGAATGTTCAAGGAGCTCACAACGTTGGCACTGTTTTGTCAGGTTCAGACTGACATGTTGAGCTCGATCTTCTCGTTGAGGCTGACCCTCCACCAGGGTTTCAGAAGATGGTGACAGAGCACCAGTGGCCAGAGAGCGTCACTCTCAAAGATGTGGAAGAATTTCGGCAGCGTTTTTTGAGTACATTTGGGCTACCAAAGACTGCAATGATGGTGTACAGAATAAGAAGAAGGTGCTTTGAAGTTACTTGGTTTGCAACCCTACCAGCCTCTGTCACCGTGTTACTGAATAAGCATAAAGGATCCCATCGTCTTTAATGAGTTCAGTGTAATTTCACTGGGGAGTCTGTCTATCATGTACCCACCCCGTTTATGCCACCAGTAAGTACCGATCTCTCTTGCTGGAAAATATCAGACTTAAATATTTTCAGGTTTCTCCCAAAGGTGTAGCTAACAACTGATGATGCTAACAACATTTACGTGACCAGTGAGCACAAGCTGCAAAAGTACGATAGTAATGGTAAACTGATCAAATGTATCGGAGCGGAGGGCACAAAGGAGGGGGAGTTCAATTCTCTACGTGGGATTACGTTGCACAAAAACCAAGTGTACGTTTGTGATCGCAATAACGATCGTCTTCAGGTATTTGACCTAGACTTGAACTTTGTTCGAACCATTGGCTCACCTCCTACGGACAAATGTGAATTAAAGGAACCAATTGATGTAAAGTTTGATACGGGAGGAAATATGTATGTAACTGAGATCGGAACAGAAGAGTGCAAGTAAGGGACGCAAGCGGACATTTCGTACGGAAATTTGGTCAAGAGGGCAAACAAAAACTACTCGGGCCATCAGGTCTTCACATTGCTGACGATTATGTCCATGTGTCTGATTACTGATTATCACAGTCATTGTATTTGTGTGTATACGACATCGGGTCAATTTGTGACATCATTTGGGAACCAAGGTCACAGGGAGGGAGAGTTTCTCTGTATCGCCTCTTGTACTGATGGTTTTATACATGTGTGTGACATGTTCAGCAATAGAGTTCAGATATTCTGAAGAGTGTTTTCATCCTCATTTTAATGGCTATTTGTAATGTCATAAGTTCTATAGTGTATACACTTTTACAGAGAAACAAGTAGTACGTTATGCTAGCTATATTGATGACAGACACCTAGAAGCGGCAGATTTTAGGTTCGCCCGTTCGGAGCATGCGCACGCGGAGGACACCAGCGCGCGCCGCCGCATGCCTACGCGCGCGCACGAAAGCCAAGTTCCGCGCGCGGCTATAAAACGGCGGTCCGAGAGAGCCTGTAAGACAGTCCTGCAAGACAGTAATATCCTGAGATTGTTTGTTACAACAGATATCAATCAATGCATCATCATTCGTCACGTACTGCAGCGTTCGTTGCGGTGGCGTTCTTAGCGTCGCTAGTTCACTGCCAGACGTACCCTCGTCTGGAGCACTGGAGCCAGGACGATGTAACACGCGTCCTGCAAAATAACTCTTTCATCGACCGTTCATTTATTGACGAAAACGGTGACGATGGAGTCCTGAGATGTGTGACTGACAATCCAGCATGTTGCTCCGGGAATTGGTTTGATAGCAGTGGAGAAATCATACCTCCACGAGACATCAATGCTAACCTTTCCTTTTACACTACTGAGAGATTAGTGGACGGCCGCAGTGTGCACAGTCTCAAGTATAGAAGTGGTGGAAGTACATTAGTTGGAGTGTTTCGATGCGATATACCAAATCTCTTTGGAGACGTGGAGAGTCTTTTTGTGTACATAGGCTCCAACACAATCGGTAAACTTATCTTGTATTTTGTTGAAATGCTGCAAAATGAGCAAAACTAAATCTTTGTTCAGGTGAAGGTACTCTGCGAACGATTCAAATTTCCTATGCGAAACATCCTCTATACCAGGAAGACTATCAGGTTCCTAACTTCATTCTGTCGTGTGTCAGTGAGGGAGGGCCGGTGAGCAGAGTCCAGTGGTGGAGAGACAGAGTCCCAGTCCAGGAGGACGGGAACCACGTGGTCTCCCAGATCATCCTGGACACCTCTCAGAATGCAGTCTACGACAGCAGACTGACGGTGTGGGGAAGAGAGGGAGGAGAGTATAGGTGTCGGGTCTCAAGCAACATCCCAGACTACTACCCCAGGCTGACGTATCTCTCTCACAATTCATCTTACATCACTATTGACGGTAAGAAAACACCTAGTTTCTACTTCTTCACCCACAGAATTGCTTTTTAGTTGCTGAAAGGCCTAGAAATTTGGAACACGTCAGAGCTTCACCGACAAGTTTCATTGTCTACTGGGTTCCTCCGAGGTCAACTCCCTTGGCCTACGTCATCTTCTACAACCTCACTGCAGACGTGTACAGCGTGACTGTGAATGCCTCCAGGACAAGTACGACTCAGAGCTACGAGTTGGGGGGACTCAGTGAGGGCATGAACTACAGTATCTCAATGGTGGCTCTCTCTCGACACTTGCCAAGTCCCGTGGTGGGATCTCCTATCATGTCTGGTGAGCCATCAAAAAGATTGGCTGCAGCTTGGGGCACTGTTTTTGTGAAATGGTGCTTAGCTGCATATTGCACATGTCCCACAAGACACTGTCCACCAAAATTTGGCAGTAGGGGGATTTAAGAATTTGGCATTGATTCGTCTCACAAATTGTTGGCAGGCTGAAGGCTTAGCCGAGAGCCAAGTGCATAAAGAGTTGTGATTCCGTCACAAAAATGTAACGGTCGTATATATAATGGGGCTGGATCCAAGGTGTTGCCTTATAGCCATACATGGAACAGCTTTTGACAACTTACGAAATTTTTTCCCTTTGAGCTAATCCCTCAAACATTCCTACACAGTGGCAGACTTTACTCCGTCGGTAACTGTCACAACAAGTCCTGGGGATCCAGTGGCCGGGACGTCTTACGTCCTCACCTGCACAGTGACAATTATACCAGGAATCTCCCTCGTTCCAGTCATTGAGTGGAGTGGCTACGGGATAGGCATGCAGTGGGTCACCACTGGTCGGACCGTCAGTGGAGATGACTCCCACACCCGCCAGGTGACCTTCAGACCACTGGTCCTGGCTCACGGAGGAGCATACACCTGTACTGCCAGGTTCACTCTGAATGAAGTCACCTCCAGAGACGGAGTCGACCAAACTCTACTCTCAGTCATAAGTCAGTAACCTATACGACAAACTAACTGTAGAAAATGGTTGAATATCTATCTTTCAGTTCCACCACCATCGATGTCAGTCAGGATTGCTAGGAACACCATACCATACGTGGGGAACAATGTAACCCTGGAGTGTTTGGTTCAACTGGACTCAGCAGTTAGCGACAGTGAGGTTGAGATGGAGGTGAGGTGGGTAAAAGTTGGCCGCAGGACAGCTATACCGTCCCTGGAGGCAGCCATTCCTCCTGACAGGATGCGCAGTACAATATTCTTAACCAACCTCCTGGAGAGAGACTCTGGTTCATATCAATGTGAGACCACTCTGACTCCACTAGACGCAAGGGTTAACTCGTCTCCCCTCAACACGCCCAAGGTCTACAATCTAACAGCAATTGGTAATCCTATTTCTCAACCCATTGTACACAAACTTATGGATACCTGCTCCTCTCCTAGTTCCATCGCTAATAATAGAGACATCGCCATCTGTTGTACGTATCCTTGATGTTTCTCCGCACAACCAGTTCACACTCTCCTGTACCGTCTGGGCCGAAGCGTACGGAGAGAAAATACCTCTACCACTGACCATTGAATGGATCAAGAGAGTCGAGTCGGGTTCTAATGTCAGGTTCTCTCCAGTGGCCTCAGCAGAAGGCCCTCATCTGAGTCCAAACCCAGCCGATGGCTACCACAGTATTCTGAGAGGCAGCGAGACCAGCTCAGTTGGCTCCACCTCTTATCGCTGTCGGGCCTCCTTTGTACGTGATGCTGGGGGAGCTACTGAGCTTGAAACTAGCAATTCTCTTGTGGCAGTTGTGGGTAAGTAGCCATACACAGCGAGGCAGTATAGAGTATAAGATCACTAATGTTTTGCTGGTGCAGGGCCAACATCTCCAGTGGTCCCAGTGTCAGTGAGAACCACAGCCAGTGACAACAGTAGTCTGACCATCCAGTGGGAGATAACCTCAGTTTCCTACACTCCAGAGACGTACCATGTGGAGTACGGCACTGACAGTATAGAGTTGGGATTCCACATCTCAGAACAGGAGAGTGGACCTGATATTAGGATTGTTGACCAGGTGTATTCTCAGGACCTGATTGGTCTCCAGCCACTGGCCACCTACTACTATCGTGTGGTAGCCAGTAACACTGCCGGAACCACTGCAAGTATTGTGAGAGCTGCCAGGACCATGGACTGTGAGCTGAGTTAACTACAAGAGTGCGTTTGTACGCTCTTGCATGGAGTGATCCTAAGAGCTTTAAAATCACAGCCTGTGTTATGGAATGTTAGCAGAGTTACAAAATGTATTGTGTTGTTTCCATTGACTGAACTTCAACCAAATTTTCTCCCCTGCTCTTCTGTCTGTATTTCCAGTGTTGAGGATAGAGGGATCGGGGGACCCACGGGTAGGGGAGAGGTACTCACTGGAGTGTGTCGTATCAGCTCAGTCTGGGAGTGGAGACTACACCAGTCTGACTTGGACCGACAGTCGTGGTGAGGTCTGGCATCTGACACCGGTGGCTCTCTCTCCAGTCTGGAGCTGGTGTTTGAGTCTCTCGACCTCTCAAACGTCGGCAACTACACCTGCACTGTCACTTTTCCTACTGGTGACTCAAGACAATTGACTGAGCAAGTTTTGGCAGCAGGTATATTATAGCTATGCATAATCACACTGCATTCTAAAATCATGTCACTTTGCTTCAGTGCCATCCTCACATGTCGTACTTGAAGAAGTGGACCAACCACGTGACGGGATACTCTATTCTGGTCTCAACCATACCCTGAAATGCCATACGAATGTCTCTGTTTTCAGTGCACCGTTTGTCACTGTCTCCATTCAGTGGCTCAGAGATGGACACAGCCTCAAGACCTGTTCTGACCTCGTAAAAGAGTCTGAGACACACTACCACTGTCTCCTCGCCCTAACACACCTCAGCCACTCGTCAGACAATGGAAGTTACTCTTGTAGAGCAGTCACGACTCCCACAGCAAACTACCCACTGCTGAGAGCCACATCCGTCACTTCTAACACCCTGGATCTTCGTGTTGCCAGTAAATTCATTTGTTAAAACTGCCATCCTTTCTCTCTTCTTTGATTCTTTCTTTCTCTTCCTCCCTCCATTCTTTACCTCTTTCCTTTCTCGCTTATTCCCCAATCCGTTATTTCTTCCCGCCTTTTCTTTCTCCTCCCCTCTCTTCTTTCTCATCTCGTCTTAACCGACTCTGTCTTCCTCAGTTCCAGTTGTGAGTGTCATGATCTCGAGCTCGACTACTCGGGTGTTGGATGTTCCTCCGTACAATCAGTTTGAGTGCTCGTGCTCAGCCTCGGTGAGTGTCCCTGGACTGGGAGGAGAGCAGAGACTGGCAAGACGCTGGCAGTGGATGAGAAAGGGAGTCGGAGAAGAAGAGTTCAGCAGTGTTCCGCATTTCACGGTTGACTCTTCGTGGAGCTCAGTGCTGCACAGTGAGACGAGAAGTGGCACTGTGGCGTATCAGTGTGTGTACAGTTTGGAAGGAGTGGACCAAATCTCTGCTAGTGACCAGATCACTACGTCTGTCATTGGTGGGTGAACCCTACAATACAACTAGCGAAATGAATGAAATGTTCCTCCCACATCAGGTGCCAGAGAGCCCAGTACACCTGTGGGAGTGGCAGTATCACAGATAACCTCCAGTGGATTCGTGGTACAGTGGACGGTGGCATCGGTAGCCTACACTCCAGAGACATATGTGGTGGAGTATAGTACAACCAGTGACTTTTTAAACCCGGCAGCAGAGTCTGTGGCCAGTGGTGATGACATCGGGATTGTTGACAAGACGTACAGTGTTGAACTGAAGGGACTGGCGCCAGGAACTAAGTACCATTTCGTCGTCGTAGCAATAAACTCGGCCAGGATAACCAGAACCGAACCTTTGTTTATCTACACCAAAGAAACAGGTAAGATTTTCGAGTAAAAACTTTGTGGCGCATGAAGAGCATTTTAAAACTTTGTCTAGTCCCAGGAAAAGTGTCGTTTGTGAGTGCGTCGAGAGTGAATGACTCCAGTCTCAACATTAGCTGGGGAGCAATCGAGGCGGCAAATGGAAACCTCACCCACTACCTGGTGTGGGTCAACTCCACCTCAGACGGCCACCGGAGACTCGTGGACATCTCCCGCCCTCGTCGTTTGATTGTGTCTGGACTGAGTAAGTCCCTGTTCATATATAGGAGTAAACACGTCCAAGGTCAATCAATATTGGTTAAGTGTGACTTGTGATAACAAAACAAATGTCACCCTATAACGTGCTAGGCTCATCTGTGTAAACCACAAACAAATGCCAGACTGTAAATCAGTTTGGTAGACAGCCACAACTATGCCACGATACATACCTTGGCACACTCTATAGCTTTCATAGGACACATAGACAGAGGTGTCAGTCTCCTACCCGTACCATACCCACAGTCAATCAGGGAATAATCAAAATAATATGTTTGTGTCTGCTGCTGCTGTAGGGCGTAAGACGATGTACAAGGTGTATGTGGCAGGTGTGAATGGGGCTGGGGAGGGAGAGTGGCAGGAGACACAGGACAGGGTCACCACTCAGGGACTCGGTAGGGATGCCAGAACACCAATCACACACACACACACACACACCAACACACTTGGAGGCTGTGGAGCTACTATCATGTATAATGGCTATGGAGCTATAATGACTGTGAGTGGTTGTCTGGTTATGTCTTGGCTGCAGAGTCCTCCGACGACAGTGGAGGGGGTGTGGGGTTGGCAGTGGGAGTCACTCTGGGAGCCATTATCTGTCTACTGATCCTCATTAGCCTCCTCCTCCTTCTACTGGTGGTGTGTGTCAGGTGGGTTGGTCCCTGAGGACGCACTCCCTAGCTATGCATTTTGTCTATTTGAGAACATTGTGGCGTGGTATGCATCTGAGAGCATACAGTGGTGAAGCACAGGGCACATGCAATAAGTAAAAGGACAAGGAACAATTGCTAATAATGTGCATAAGGTGTCTTACCTTGGCTTACCTGCTACATGTATGTGTATATAACGACGTGATCTATGGGCATAGTTAGTGTAGGAGTAGGACAGCAACAAACCTTTGGCACAACTGCGTGTGCAATCAAATCAGAGCCTTACTCTGTCCAAACATTGTGGTATCCTCCCACTTAGGAAACACATAGCTACTATACCTATGGCTTAGGGTGTTTGTCCATGAAACATGCCACGTGACTTCTTTATTTTTCTAGACAAAGGAGGCGGCGTAGGAAGGGACATGCACTGATAATCTCAGAGGACATAAGGTCTTCTGCTCTCCTCAACAACACTGTGAAGGAAGAGGAGGACAAGAGTTTCTCCAGGTCACCTGCTTCACCTCAGACCTCGCAGAGTAACGGAGAGACTGCCTCAGGAGCAGCAGAGGAAACAGGAGATGGTGAGAATGGAGAGGAAAGGGAGAGTGGTCGGGCGGGAGGAGGAGTGGAGGTGGGAACGGAGGGTGGTGACGATGGTGAGAGGGGGGACGAGGGGGAGGGTGGTAGTGAGGGAGGTGAGGGTGGGAAGGAGGACGGTGGTGGTGGACCTGATGCTACAGCTACTGACTCGGATGATGACAGTGCCAGCAAGGAGAAGGCCTCTGCACCAGCCACTGACTCTAACATCGGTGAGCCCCAAACTAAGACCCTTATAACCAATTTCCCTCTCCTGTTTTATTTAGATGAACACATGGTATGAGCGTTTACCACTGACTATTATGCACGATGGACACTTTTTGTCACAAAGCATTCACACTGCAGCAGTTTTTAAATCATCAAGTTTTCTATACAAAGTATGAGATTATTGAGATCTATGAGCCTTTAGTCTGTCGAATCATAGACTCCATCATGTCCCACTGCTCCTTTGTTACCTGGAGAGGACACACAGACAGTTGTAGACAGTGGGGTCCATGACTGTTGTGTACTGTGGGCAGCCTGTGTATTGGTTGCTGGAGGTACACAAGGAGTGTCTGTGTTACCCGTGTCAGTTGGCTGAACATGCCGGCCATGTAGGGAAGGTTCCCGCCGTCCAGTACCACCACTGCTCCCGAGACCCAGCTGGAGTAGTCACTGAGTAGGTAGGCAGCCAGGTTGGCATTCTCCTCCACCTCTCCCATCCTGCCTGCCGGGACTGAACGGAGCATGTTGTCTCTGAACTGCCCTGTGGGGTCAAGTCGACTGAAGGCACCCTGTGAGTGGGGGGGTGGAGGAACAGAGGGAGTGAAGAAAGAAAGAGTGAGTGTTTTGGGAGGGAAGGAGGGGGAAGGAAAAAGAGAGTGGAGGGAGACAGTGGTTGAATGATGTTGGATGTGTATGGGGAACAATAGAGGTTTAATGCCTACCTTTGTCTCAATGGGACCAGGAGCAATGGCATTGAACCTCAATCCATACCGTCCCCACTCTGCCGCCAGTGACCTGCACACACACAAACTCTC